GTTAATATTAGATGTAATTAGAAATTGGGGTTTCAGCTGATCATTAAGATTAATATTATTATTCTGAGATATTTGCTTAAGATTATTATAAATGTGAAATTTTTGGGAAAGAATATATACTTTATAATTAAACACTAGTGTACAAAAAGTAAAATTATCTTATTTTATATATAATACATAGTTATAGTTAATAAGTTTAATTTACGTAAATTTTTAAAGTAAAAAAAAAGTACCTAACCATATAGACTTCAGAATTTAATATAAGTTTATGTTACATTATGGAAGTACTTGTAATAATTCAAAATTCCTTAATATATTTAATATATTGTAATTGTGGTTTGTTTTTATTTAGCCTTTCCCCGCCACCTGTTTTTAAACTATTCAGATTTTTAAATTCAATGATCTTCAATTAAATTAGACGCTAGATAACTACATATTAATCCAATTTAAGGATGTGTATAATCTCGTCAAGCTTTATTAATTCACTACAACAGATTAACCTATGTTGATCCCATTTTTTATCAAATATATTATCAGTGTATACTATATTTTCCACATTTTATCATATTCTAATGCCCTACGCCACTGCCAAAGAGTCGGCCGCTTTGTCGGCCATATCCAACCTCCATTCCGGTCGCACTGATTTTACCGTAGACTCCTTCCTGTTAGTTTTATATTCAAAGTCACGAACCACAGACTCAACGCTGACTCCCCCACAATAACTGCAGACGGAAAAATAACACAACCGAAAAACGACGTAAGGTACCATGGGATGACAATCGACCACAACCTAAAATTTAATAAAATGAAAAGTATAGCTACTTTACATTTATTTTTGAAAGCTTACATGCGGGTCCCTAGATAATACTAGGAGTCTTCGACATTTTTCCCACATAAAATTTACATTTTTGTCAGTACTTTGGCATATTTTTCTTAAAAACGCAAAATAGTGACATGGGCACTTTTTGTACCAAGATATGTACATGTATTTATAATTGTTAAAATTATTTCAAGATGCATGATACATGTTTGTAATAATGTTATGTCTAATTTCTCGCGTGACCCAATAAATAATAAGTGATAATTAGGCTAAGGCTTCATTGTAAAAACGGAAAGTCCGAAAAATTATTATTATTAATTCTGATAAGATTTCCTGACTGCGTGTACTTATGATATTCTTATCTTTCCTGGGTCTCAGTCAAAGACTTGACTGGGCACTAGTTTGCCCGCAAGAAAATTTAATTGTTTCGGCTTAATCAAAACTTTCCAGGCCGATGGATTGCTAGAGGTCAAGAAGCTCCTATAAACTCGCCTCCTAGATCTCCCGATTTAAACGCGCTTGATTTTTACTTCTGGGACCGAATACAATCGAAGAACTTTAGGAACGAATTTTTAATATTTCTAACGAAATAAGAACTTTAGTGCAAACTTTACGGTCTGAAAATATTAATTTAATTAAAAGACTGCCGCTAAGTTAACATTAGAATGGTTATTTAAATTTAATTTTGTTTGTTTATATCGTTGCGCATATTGTTACCATGTTTTTAATTAAGTAAAATTTATTTAAACTATAAAGTTTATTATTTTAATTAATTTTTTTTAAATTCTTTCAACATTAGAAATCTTAAACTGATTTTTGGTAGACATTTTAAATCGGAAATAATTTATTTTATCGATATCTTAAATAACTCGGTAAATATATAATAACATTTTTCTCATTTTCTCTCTCTCTCTTTCTATGATAACGCCTCAAATCAGCTGAAATCTGGCAACAACGGGGGAAATGAAATGAAATCAACAACAAAACAATACAACATTCCAAGGGGGCTACAATTACAATTAGCCGCAGTCATCGTAGTAACGCCTGTCATGGATCCATCATTTCGATTTGTGGTGCACGTCTGGCAACGCTGTTCATCAATCAGCTACAGAACAATAAAGACACCAGAATTAGTTGATTCGATGAACGACGTTGGCGACACTGCCGACCAACTATAAGAGAGATCGCAATACAAGGCTCTTTTCTCTCGCGCTTTAGTCCAGAGACAAGGGATAACGAGACTGCATTGAATAGGAAAATCAGGAAACACATTTAGATGCGCGGGGCTGGGAACAGGTTTTAATGCAGATTGGTTTCTGCGCATATATTGGCAGCCATGTCTCACTAGGTCCTAGGCCACTGTTTTTAGTTCTGCACAAAACCAAAACGTCATTAGTCATAAATCTTTCATTTGGCGGTAGTGGTCTAAATGATAGTTTGTTTATATCCATTTTGTGTCTGTGATCATAGAAATTCTAAAAGCAAGTAAGTTGAAATGTGTGTAATATAATAATTATCTAGTTACATTGAATTTATTTTTTTACCGGTAGCATACCACCGTTTATACCAGACTAGTAATTACCACGAGGCTGGTGCATAACGACTAAGTTAATAGGTTTTTATGTACGTTCTTTGTATATAAATATAAATAATTTGTTGTTTCTAAATTAATAGGTATTCGAATTGTTCCGGTAAATGCTCATTTAATCATTAATTCATAATTACTTCATCCCAAAATGACAAATATAGCAAATTATACTTGTCGCTATCCCTTGTGCAATAGCAAATATTTTGTACATGGCGCTAGGCATTTTTTCAAGTTCCCAAAAGATAAAACATGTCGTCAAATGTAGTTCAGTAGTTTAAACAAACACCTCATTAATTCGATTCAATATTCAACTACCAGACATTATTTGTGTGAAGATCATTTCATTGAATCAGATTTTACAAGCACGTTTCATAACAGACTAATTAAAGGCGCCGTTCCCACAATCTTTCAAAAAGAGACTTACGTTATCTCAAATTAAACTTCACCCTTTCGCCCGCAATCACTAGAACATAATGAATTACAATCCATTCCAGAGCCGAAATCCACAAAATGTACAACAGCAAAGCCCCAAAAATTGAGAGTTAAAAGGTCAACATTTACAACTGAAAACAAAAAATTATACTCTGCCTACCGACAACAAAAAGCATATATTTGTAAATTAAAAAAAAAATTACAGCTGTCACAAAATCAAATTCAAGACCTTTACAACATCAACAATTCAGAGATATTTAAAC